CAAAGCGCCCCTATTTGATAGTAAGATAGGATTGGTAACAAAACTGGAAAGCGCGAAAAGAACAGGAACGGCGAACACGGCTTATTGTGTCCTTCGCGCCACCCCGTAGTTTGCGCCGCCGCAGGGGCGGAGCGCGCGCTTTTGAAAGCGCGCAGGGTTTAAGTCACAACGGCAGTTGCTGGGGGCGGGTGTGTGGGCTGGCGCGGAGTGAGGCCGCAGCGGGGGCCTGTTGGGGACCGCTGGGGGCGAGTTTCCAGACGACCTTGGCCAGAACCCTCGTCACCGCGGTGTCTCTGTAGCCGGCGTGTGACTCCGCCCGGCTCCGGTAAGGGGAGGTTTGCGGCCGAGCCCCCCTAGCCGGGGCCTCTGCGTTTGCTTCCGTGACAGCCCCGAGCCTAGAGGGAAAGTTGAAGACGTTGGAAATATGGCGTTAACTGGGAATTATCTTAGGAATCGTCTTTGCGACCCACACCCGGGTGTACCTCTGAATCACGGAGTGGAGTGGGGATTTCAGGAAGAAATTGCCCTCTTCTCGAAGCGAAGCCTGGTGATCTGTACTTTGTATGGAAGCTCCACAGACGAATGCGACGGTTAGATTTGGGGAACCCTGGTCTAGCCAGCTGCCGTTGTTTTACAAACGGTTTTACAGATAGTGGGGCCCAGGCCTCTGCCTGAGGCGAGACCCCGGTCTGTAGGGACATCCGAGTTCTGCACCAATTCCCAACGCTGGGGCTTGTGCCTGGTGTAAACAGTTCATTACGTCGGCCGAGTGAGTCTCACTTCCAGCTCTTAGCGGAGGCTAGAGCTGGTGAAGGATTTCTGGTGGGCGTGGAGTGGGGAGGGCTTGAGAAAGAGAAGCATGGAGGCCAGTGCCTTCCTTTGAACCCCTCAACTCATGTTGCTTCCGTTTTCAGATGACGTGACTGAGCAAGTGGAAGAGGATTTTAACCTCCAGCCCTTGTAAGTTCCTGGATCCGGGCATACAGCCTGAGCCTCTACCCGCGCCGGGATGCGCACTGCGGTGGTCAAGTGTACAGGACGTTAGAAGTAATCTGATCAGAACTCTTCCTTTTCATTCTTTTTCCCTCTATTTTGCTTCTCTTCCCTCACTTATCTTCACTTTTTCTCTCCTTTTGTGTTTCCTTTTTGTGCTGCCTGTCTACTCTGTAGCTTTGCTAGTAGTATCCTTGTTTTTGTTTGGTTCTAGGGTGGCTTAGAGTCCAAAAGTTATCATCTGGTCCAGTAGATCTTCAGATTAGCTTGCTGAGCCTTGTTAACTTTTTAATACTGGTTCTTAAATGGTACTTAAATTTTTAAAAATATCCTAAGTACTGCACAGACTTTGAAATTCTGCCCACAGTCATATGACTCTCATTTCTAATGTATCTCCGTCTAAGATATTCACAATTTTATGCTGCTTTCTTTGTAAGAACCTTGCGATTTAGATTAGCATGGTTATTTAGCAATTAATACATATAGGATGTGTATACAATGTATACAGAATCTGAGACAGAGTGTGGGCTAGTGGCCAGAAGTCATCCATCAGTAGACTAAGGCCTAACCTGTTTAGTCATGAAAAAAGTTGCCTCAGAAAATTGTGAAATGGATAGGATATAGTATATTTAGGTGCAAATGGCTTGGAGTGGAGGGTGGGACTGAGTCCTAGAGTGTTCTAGAATGAAATCAAATGTTAAAAGACTTATGTTTAAACTTAGGTGTTTTTAACTGGAAGGTTTTTTTTTTTTTAAATACTTATGCTGCTTCTGAATGTCACATCCTCCTTATGCTGAGGCGAAAAAGGCACTGAGACTTAGGCAGTAAGATTTCCAGGACACCATACTTACTGGGTTTTTTGCATCCTGCTTTTCTGGCCCCACCTGGGGCTACTTTGTTCTTCATTTCTCATGTTGGGATGCCTCAGAGCTCTGTTTTCTATTTACACTTACCCCCTAGGCGATCATATCTATTCTCTTGGCTTTAATACCATATATATGCTGATATCCTACAAATTTATATCTTCAGCTTGGATTCAGACCTATATCCGGCTGCCTATTTCACATTGCTACTTGGATGTCTAATAAGGTATTCAAAATTGAGTTACTGATCTCGATAATGACACCTCTGTTCTTCCAGTTGCTCAATCTGAAAATTTGGCGCTATCGTTGACTTTTCTCTCATTCCTAAAAAAATCCAAACATTGGGAAATCCTGTTGGTTCCAGATTTAAAACATCCAGAATCCAACCATTTGTCACCATCTCTACTTCTACTCTCCTGATCCAAGCCACCTGGATTTTCTCTCTTGGATTATTGCAGTAGCCACCTTATTGGTCTGATTGCCTCCACCCTTGTTCCCCTTTAGTTAATAAACACAAACCAGAGTTATCCTTTTGAAACGTAAGATGGAGTATATTCCTCCTCTGCACAAAACCCTCCAATAACTTCCAGTTTCTCAGTAAAAGCTGAACTCCTTACTGTTAATAAAGCTTGCTGAATAAAAGCCTTATGGCTCCTTATTGCTACAATGCTCTACTTGATTGCCATCCTCCACTCCCAAACTCTGTGACTTCATTTTCTACTCCCTCTTGCTAGCTCTGCCCGCCTAGCTTTTCTTTGAACATTTCTGCCTCAGGCCCTTTGTATTTACTACTTGCTCTATCCGGCAGACTTCTAGATATTTGCATGGGCTAGCTCGCCTCACTTCCTTCAAGTGACACCTTCTCAAAGACACCTCCCTGGACCACCCTAACTCAAATTTCAAGCCCTTTCCCAGCACTTTGTCTTCCTTCACTGGTGTATATTTCCCCTGACTATAAGTCAGTATCTTATTATGTATTTATCTTGTTTGTTTGGGTCTTGTTTGCTGTTCCAGTGTCTCCAGTGCCTAGAACAGTGCCTAGTAAGTGGTACATTCTCAATAAGGGTATGTTGACTGAGTGAATGAAGAGTAGTTTCCCATAGGTAGGTAGAAGTCTTAGAAGCTCTTTGAAGTGCTCCTTCATAACTTCCTGTGAGGAAAGATTGATGAAGATGAAAGAAGGGGAATCAGAATCACATGGAGAATTTATTTCCAAAGTAGAAGTACCTCCTCCAACCCACTCTGTAAAATAGTTTATCCTTCCCCAAAGGTCTGAAACTTGTTCCAGAAAAACTTGTTCCTTTCTTTTAGTTAAACCTGTTACTTTAGAAAATTAGTATATTTTTGGCAAGTGTGTGAAAAAGGAATCTTCAGTGTTCTAGATTCAGGCAATCTGAAGACAGTGGTGATTGTAGCTACATTTTTAAAAAATGAACAAGCTTCTCATTAATGGACAATTCAAGCTGGGCCTTTGACATGATTTTTTTTTTCTTGGCATAGAGTTTTTAAAGATGCTATTAAGGGCTCTATAAAAAATTTAAGCAAATGTTCTCTCTGCCTCCCAGTTTTTTATAGACAAACCAAATAAACTTATAGACATGTAGGAACAGTTGCTTTATAATAAATCTAATATGAAACCTAACTTTTAAAAACGAAAAAGTAATTTTAAAAATTTTTATTAAAAATATTCCTTGGACCGGCCCCGTGGCTTAGCGGTTAAGTGCGCGCGCTCTGATGCTGGCGGCCCGGGTTCGGATCCCGGGAGCGCCCCGAGGCAACACTTCTCCGTCCAACGTGAGGCCGAGTCCCACGTACAGCAACTAGAAGGATGTGAACCTATGACGTACAACTATCCACTGGGGCTTTGGGGGGAAAAAACTGAATAAATAAAATCTTTAAAAAAAAAAAAAAATATTCCTTAAGAAATATGTTACAGAAGAAATAAAAAGCTTGGATTAACTTGCTAATATATGCAGTACATACATTTTATCTTTATAGACAATTTTTTATAACAACTTATTGAAATATAATTCACATATAAAATTTACCCCTTGAAAGTGTGCAATTCAGTGGTTTTAGTATAGTCAGAGCTGAATATATTAAACCACTACCTAGTTTTAGAACATTTTCATCAAAGAAACCCCATACCCACTAGCAGTTATGCCACATTCACCCTCCCCCTGGCCCCTGGCAACTACTGATCTATTTTCTGTCTATAGATTTGCCTATTCTGGATATTTCTGGTAAATGGAATCATATATATGGTCTCTTGTGTCTGGCTTCTTTCACTTAGCATAATGTTTTCAGGGTTTGTTCATGCTGTAGTATATATCAGTACTTTATTCCTTTTTATGACTGAATAATATTCTATTTTATAGAATATGTATCTTTTTTTTTTTTTTTTTGGTGAGGAAGATCAGCCCTGACCTAACATCCATGCCAATCCTCCTATTTTTGCTGAGGAAGACTGGCCCTGGGCTAACATCTGCGCCCATCTTCCTCCACTTTATGTGGGACACTGCCACATCATGGCCAGACAGGCAGTGCATTGGTGTGTGCCTGGGATCTGAACCCGGGCTGCCAGCAGCGGAGCATGAGCGCTTAACTGCTATGCCATGGGGCCGGCCCCTAGAATATGTATTCTATTGAATAATATTCTATTGTGTGTATTGTAGAACCTCTTTTGTTTATCTGTTCATCATCTGATGGATATTTCTATTTCCTCTTTTGGCTATTATGAATAATACTGCTTGCATAAACAATTTCTTTAAAGGATATAAAAGACCTGTTAACAACTACTTCTGGGGGATGTGAGAGGGAGACTTAACTCTTTACCTTTTTGTAGTACGTGATTTTTATTAACCAAGTGCATATATTACTTTTTAATTGAGACAAATGAGAAAACCCAATCACTGGTAGTATGTGATTACTTACCTTGGGTAAGTAAGTGTCCTCTCTGGGTTTCAGTTTTTGCATTGTAAGTAAAATTGGGCTAAATATTTGTCATGGTCTTTTTCGGTTCTCAAATTTTATATTTATATGATAAAATGAGTGATAGTGTTATAGGAATTTTTTCTTCATGAAGAATAGTTGTATTTTCTGTAACTGCAGTGTAACTTTCAATTTACTTTCATCACAGGACCCAGAGTGATAACTACAATGGAAGAAATCAGTAATTTCAAGACACCAAGCAAATTATCTGAAAAAAAGAAATCTGGTAAGATAGATATAAAACCCTTCTTCATTATTATTGCTATTAGAAATATCTTAGTATTATTGTAGTTTGATTCTTTAATTATTATCTATCATGCACAATTTTAGCATAAGTCCTCTTTATAATGTTGATCTTAACAAATAAGACTGATTTGATAGGCCAGGCTTGGGTCATCTATGAGCTAATTTTACTGACATTCTAACAGATTTGGAAGTTCTCCCTGGTGAACAATCAACTTGAACCATTAAGAAACTTTACCATTCCCAGTGTCATACCTGCATGGCTATGGTGAGGGAAAGATATTTTCCAAGGCGAGTCAGTGGACAAAGGATAATCTTTTCATCAAATGAAAACAATTGGATATTCATTTGCAAATTGACCCTTAGCTCACATCATATACAAAATGGCTAAAATTATAAAATTTCTAGACAATAACGTAGGAGAAAATCTTATGTTGTTCATTTCTAGTATGTAGATTTTTGTATATTGACCTTGTATCCTGCAACCATGCTAAATTCATTTATTCTATTAGCTTTTTTATAGATCGCTTAGGATATTGTACATAGTTGGTAATGTTGTGGATGAATAAAGACAGTTTTACTTTTTTTTCCCCAGTCAGTATTACTTTATTTATTTGTCTTACGGCACTGGTTCCAGTATATTTTTGAATGGAAGAGATGTGAGTGAACATACTTGCCTTGTTCCCAGTGAAGTATTATGTTAGATGTAGGTTTTTCATAGATGCCCTTTATCAGGTTGAGGAATTTTCCTTTTATTCCTTGTTATTATCAAGAATGGGTGTTGAGGGGCCGGCCCCGTGGCTTAGTGGTTAAGCGCGCGTGCTCTACTACTGGCGGCCCAGGTTCGGATCCCGGGCGCGCACTGACACACTGCTTCTCCGGCCATGCTGAGGTGGCGTCCCACATATAGCAACTAGAAGGATGTGCAACTATGACATACAACTATCTACTGGGGCTTTGGGGGAAAAAAAGGAGGAGGATTGGCAATAGATGTTAGTTCAGAGCCGGTCTTCCTCAGCAAAAAGAGGAGGATTAGCATGGATGTTAGCTCAGGGCTGATCTTCCTCACACAAAAAAAATAATAATAAATAAATAAATAGAATAAATAAAGAATGGGTGTTGAACTTTCTCAAGTGCATTTTCAGAATCTATTGAGGTGAAGTTTTCTTTTTCAATCTGTTGATGTGGTAAATTATGTTAGTTTTCAAATATTAAACTAACCTTTCATTCCTGGGGTAAAGTCAGTTTGGTCATGATGTATTTTATATATTGCTTGATTCAATTTGTTAATATTTTCTGTATTCATGAGGGATATTGGACTGTCGTTGTCTTTTTTTGGAATGTCTGTCTAGTTTTGGTATCAGGGTATTCTGTATTCATAAAGTAAGCTGGGAACTGTTTCCTTTTCTTTTCTTGAAGAGTATGTGTGGAATTGATGGTATGTATTCCTTAACTGGCAGAATTTACCAGTAAAGCCTTGTGGGCCTGGAGTTTTCTTAGTAGAAAGATTTTAACAGTGACTTCACAGTTAATAGAGATATGGCTATTTAAGTTGTCTATTTCTTCTTGTGTAAGCTTTGTTAGTGTTTTTGAAGGAATTTGTCCATTACTTCTAAGTTGCCATATTAACTGGCGTAAAGTTATTTATGATGTACTCTTACTACCCTTCTAATGTCACTTGGATCTGTGGTAATAGCTCCTTTTTCATTTCTGGTACTCGTGTTTTATGTTTTCTTTCTTTCTTCCTTGATCAGGTTTATCTATCTTGGTGAATATTTCATGCACTTGAAAAGATCATATTTTCTGCTGTTGTTGGGTGCAGTGTTCCATAAATGTCAGTTAGGTCAAGCTGGTGACTTATGTTGTTTTGCTCAAGTATTCTGTATCCCTACTGACTTTCTGTTTACTTTTTCTATTACTTGAGAGAAGAGTGTCTCCAACTACAATTGTGGATTTGTCTATTCTTTTTCTTTCAGTTCTGTCAGTTGTTGCTTTATGTATTTTGAAGCTTGTTCTTAGGTACATATACATTTAGGATGGTTATTTCTTCTGATGAATTTAGCCCTTTACTGTTATGAAATGTCCTTCTTTATCCAGTGTTGTACTCTCTGTTCAAAGTCCACTTTATGTGATATTCATAGAGCCACTCCAGCTTTATTTTGATTAGTGTTTGAATGGTATATGTTTTCCAACCTTTTTACTTTTAACCTATTTGTGTCTTTATATTTAAAGTGAGTTTATTGTACACAGCATGTAGTTGTGTCTTGTTTTGTTTTTATCCATTCTGACAACTTCTGCCTTCAATTGGACTGTTTAGGCACTAGCCTCATGTGGCAATTCAAATTTAGGTTCAAATTCAAATTTAGGTTCAAATGAATTAAAAGTAAATAAAATTGAAAATTTAGTTTCTCACTTATACTAGCGCACATTTCAAGTGCTTGGTAACGTGACTAGTGGCTCCTGTACTGGACAACACAGACGTGGAACGTTTCTATCATGATAGAAAGTTCTATTGGATGACACTGTTTAGACCATTTACATTTAATGTAATTCTCTGTGGTTGTATTTAAATCTGCTATTTTGCTAATATCCCATAGCTTATTGATGATTTCTTAATTTTTTTCTAATCTTTTTCTCTATGCTTCATTTTTGGTAGTTTTTGTTGCTTTATCTTAAAATTTAGTTACCTTTTCTTCTGCTCTAAGATGGTGTTATTTTTATCCGTTGTATTTTTCATTCTTTGAAGTTCCATTAGGATCTCCTTTTACCTCTTTTTCTTTCTTTGTTATGCTCATATTTTCCTTTACATTATTGAGCATGTTTTTAAGATTTGTATCGTAGGGTTCTTATCTGCTAATTCTACATCACTGTCATTCTATGGTATGTTTTTTTTGGTTTATTTTTCTTCTACTATGGGTCATATATTCTTCTTTCATGCCTGGTAGTTTTTTATTGGCTGTTGGACCTTTAACATTATTGAGTGCTGGATTTTGTTATTCCTTTCAATGATGTTGTGATTTTATTATAGTCCGTGGTTAAGTTACCTGTACATTAGTTTCTTTTGAGGCTTGCTTTTAAACTTTGTTCTAAACTTTTTCCTTTGGCTGAAATTTAGCTGTACTACTAAGTTGTGACCCTTTAGGAGGACTTTACTCAATACTCTGTGTGTTACAGTTACCATACTCTGGCTGATTGTAAGTGAGCTATTCCTAGACCTGTGTAATCTGTGATAATTGTTTAGCCTACTGCTTGCATTTGGTGTTTTCTCCAGCTTGGGGGAATTCTTTCCATTGTGTGTATAGATAAGTACTTAGCTAACCACTCAAAGAGAGACCTCTTTTCAGATCTCTGGAGCTTTTTCTCTTGGTTTTTGGCTCCCTCTTTAGTTCTCTGCTCCACAAATTCTAGCTACTTAGGTCTCCTTGACCCCTGATCTCTGTCTCCTCGATATGACAAGACCTCTGGGCTGTGTTTCTTTGTGCTGCAGCTTGGACACTGCTGTTAAGCAGTAAGTTAGGGCAATGAGAGGGCTCACCTCACTTGTCTCTCTTCTCTCAGAGTTTACAACCCTGCTCTGCCTGTTGTCAAGTATCTGAAAACTATTACATTTTGTCAAGTTTTCTAGTTGTTCATGGCAAGATGGCAATTCCAGGAGCAGTTAATTGTTCATGAGCTAAAGTAGGACTCCTCTATCTCATCTTTTTTAATGACTGTATAGTGCTCTGTAATACAGATATACTATAATTATGACTCTAATGATGATTACTTAGGTTTTTTTGTTTTTTGCAGCCACAAAAGCAAATCCCAAATTCAAATATACATGCGTGCATGCACACATGTGTATGATGTCTTTGGGCACATGCTGCAGTGCAGGTATCAGCAAGCTTTTTGTAAAGGGCCAGATGGTAAACAGTTCAGGTTTTGTGGGCCACCTAGGGACTCTGTTGTATATTCTTTATCTATTTTTTAAACAACCTTTTGAAAATGTAAAAACAGTTCTTAGCTTGTGGGCCACAGAAAAACAGGCCAATTGCTGCCCCTGCTTCAGTGTTACTGTAAGGTAGAGCGCCAAAAGTAGACTTGGTCAAAGGGTATCCATTTAAAATTAAGACAGATAGTGTCAAATGGCTCTCCAAAAGACTATGCCAATTAATACTCTTAATTATTAGAGACTGTTAGGATGCATTTTTAGAGGTCTTTTCAAATACTAATTTTATTTTTTATTTCTCTTTATGACATTTAGGATTATGTTTAACTCCATGTATAAATATTCCTGCCTCTCCTTTTATGCAGAAGCTTGGCTTTGGTACTGGGGTAAATGTCTACCTTATGAAAAGGTGAGTATAAGATTTCAAATTAACATTTTTACACGGAACCATAGTTCCACTGTACTTGGAGACAAAAAAGGAATATGAAAATTCAAATATTTAAATTTAGGGTATGTTCCTGATCCTACTTGACCACTATATACCAGTCCTAGGACCCTATAACTGCCAGAGCTCTGCCTGGTATACTTTTCTCCTAGCTTCCTCCTGATGGATCATTAAAGGAGAAGTGATTTACCTCATAAGTTTTTCTTTGGCTTGTGTGGGAAGGGAAAGGGACAGAGGAGAGAGGTTCCTGTGTGGTGATAATGTAGGATTTTCAATAAGAAAACCTCCAAGAGGATGCCAGTGTTGGGGAGGATGTCAGTGACTGTTAATCCTGTCTGGAGAGTGTCCTTCTCAAGATATTCTCTTCTAAAGAAGTAAAGGTTTTTATTTCTTATGTCATCTTTGTTAAGTAAGAAGGATAAATACCTGATTTTAAAGTAGGAAAATTGTGTTAAAAGAAAAATGAAATAGTAGACTAGGTGCTAATAGCTAATAATATTATAGATGTCAACAAAATCATTTTTTAAAAAGTTGTTTCTTTTATTCATTACTCTGCACCTAGTTTTATGTTTATTAAGTGGCAAACAAGTAAGTTAATATGTATTCCTTAATGCACTCTTGGAATCAGCCTGACTAGTCCAACCAGGCATATCGTTAGCTTCATCTAGGTTTATATTGTTTCCAAATAAAAATGCTTTTCTTTAATAAAAAGCTAATGAATTGAGAATAGCATAGCAATTATATATAAGTGAGTATTCTTAAAGCATTTTTGCCATTTAAACACCCCCTTTGTGTGTTTTTGTGCTATTAGTTTTGTGAACATTTGTTTTTTAGTATGTAAAAACTCATGTCTGAGTTATTTTGAAAGAAAAAAATTCTCACAGGTTCATGGCTAGTCTCATTATTTTTCCCGTTTTAAAAGAATGTTTTTAAATGTAAAGTGTGTTGTTAACAAAGTTACACTGTATGTGACTTAATTAGAAAGATTCATGTGACTGATAATAAAAAATAGCAGACCCTGCCTGACCCTACTGCTCTGTAATGTGGCCCTGTCAGCCTGACTGGTAACCTGGAGATTTCCTTTGCTTCTCTGGTGAATTGGATCCTCTCTTTTTCTGTCTTATGTGTTACTATTTCTTGGTTTACATCTCATTTTGGTTAAGGACATCTGGTAATTCCCCATGAAAAGATGCACAGGAGGTGCATTTTTGAGAATTTGCATTTCTGAATATGTTTTCATTTTACCCTCCTACTTGATGGACCCTTTTTTTTTTCTGGGTTAGAATTCTCTTTTGGAAATAATTTTCCTCTCGAATTTTGAGGCCATTGTTCCATTGTCTTTTAGCTTGCAGTGTTGCTGTTGAGAATTCTGAAGCCTTTCTGATTGCTAATTGTTTTTATGTAATCTGTTTTATGTTATCTGTCCCTGTCCTGGAACCTTGTATGATCTTCTCTTTGTCTCCAGTGTTCTGAAATGTCACAGTGACATGTGTGGGTGTGGGCCTCTTGGAATCTGAAAATTTCTCTTCTTAAATTTTTGAGAAATTATTTTTTAAATTAGTTTGATAATTTTCACCCCTGTTTTTCTATTCTCTATCTGGAACTCCTGTTTTTTAGATCTTAAACTTACTGATCACTGATCTACCTTTTTAAAAAATTTTGCCTGGTTTTCTATTTTCTCTTTGTCTTTTTGCTCTATTTTCTGGGAGATTTCCCCAGTTTCATCTTCTGATACTTCTATTGAGTTTTTCATTTTTGTCTATCTTGTTTTTAATTATCTGAAAGTTTTCCTTTTTTAAATGACATCCTAAGCTTTTGAGGGTGCTAGAAGTGTTCTATATCTTGATCTGGATAACACAGGTATATACACATGTGAAAACTCAGCGAGCATTTAGTATGCATATGCTCATGAATTACTCTGTGCCTGTATGGTTCATAGGTTCTCAACTATGCCAGTAAGCCTCAGGCTGAAGACCCTCTGCTTTAGCCTCTTCCAAGGCCAGTCACCAGTCTTCAGAAACTGGGGGATAGAGGATGGGCAATTGCCCAGTGATACAGAATCGAGGAGAGTGTCTAGGAATTTACCTCCTTTTTAAATAACTTTCAAGAAGTTCATTGGGCCTGTTAAGTCAGTTACTTTCATCTGCTTTCCCAGCTTCCAAAAGATTGTTGCTATTGTCTCCTTCGTTATTTCCATCCTTATCCTTGGGCATATGTCTTAAAATATCCCTTTGCTTTTATTTTAGTGGGGCTTCGGAGGGATCCAAATTATATGTATATGTTCAAGCTATCATTTTAATCCAGAAGTCTATTATTTTTTAATGTAAAATCAAGTTTGCATTCCTAGATTAAACCCAACATAGTTGTGATTATTATTTTTTAATAAACTTATGGATTCATTTTGCTATTTGTTTAAAATTTTTGCGTCTATGATATAAGAGAAATTGGCTTGTGATTTTCCTTTTTCTGCTGTCTCTGTCTGATTTTTTAATTAAAGTTATATAGACTCATAGTCCCTTTGCTTTTGATTCCTTGGAATAGTCTGTGTAAGATTGAATGATAGGTTCCCTGAAAGTTTAGTAAACTTACCTGTAAAATTATCTAAACTTTGTATTTCCTGTGGGACGATTTTAAATTCCTGATTACATTTTTTTCTTTCATCAGTGTTCTTAGATTTTCCTAAGAATTTGTCCATTTTGTCTTTTAAATTATTGGTGTAAAAGTTTTAGTATTTATTCTCTTACATTTTTTATCTGTTGAATCTGTAGTTATGTCCCCATTTTTATTTGTGCCTCTTTTTATTTTTTTTCTTATGCAATCTAATCAGAAATTTGCCTGTTTTATTAGTCTTTTCAGTGAACCAACTTTTAGCTTGGCAAAGTATTTTATTCAGATTTTGTGCATATATTCTTGTTGTTCTGTAGCTTAGAATATGTTATGGAAGAGGTGAAGATGGACTTGTTCACTGAATTCTAAACATTCGAGAGCTGTAGGGTCCCCCTTGAAACTTGAAAAATATATTTTTCATAATGAAATGACATGGAAGAGGTTATCTCCAAATAGTATTGTTATCCAAAACCAGAGGTTTAAGAATAGTTTAGATAAACTTATGGATGATAGACGCATATGAATTAAGAAATCTAATGATCGTTTGAGTACATGTTTTTTCATTTAAAAAAAAAAAGATCTGGCAATCATAGTGCTATGTTCCTGAGGTAGTACAAAGCCACACAGATTCTTGATTTTCAGTCTACTGTTTTATGTTCTTATGGTTAAGCTAAACTTTTTATCTTTAGCTTTTGAGGCTCTTTCACTAGCTTTTGTGCCTCCATGCTGCATTCACTTTGTCCTTCGTAATTCACCATACCATAAATAAATGCATACCTTACCAGGTAAACCTATCTCTGACTTTGTTTTACCTGTTTGTTTATTTAGGTTTCAAAACATTTACACCTTAAATATTCTTAAAATGGCTGAATCTTCCTAGAAAATAGACAATTTACATTTTTTCTCAATTGTGTGTTTTCTTATTATCTCCTTAAATGCATATCTTTGGGTATATGGTGAAAGGTATGAAATGGATTGGTTAGTGTAGAGGCGCAGTATTCGTTAGTGAAAAGCAGTCTGTTATTCTTTTTTTTTTTTTTTTTTTTGGTGAGGAAGATCAGCCCTGAGTTAACCTCCATGCTAATTCTCCTCTTTTTGCTGAGGAAGACCGGCTCTGAGCTAACATCTATTGCCAATCCTCCTCCTTTTTTTCCCCAAAGCCCCAGTAGATAGTTGTATGTCATAGTTGCACATCTTTCTAGTTGCTGTATGTGGTACGCGGCCTCAGCATGGCTGGAGAAGCGGTGCGTCGGTGCACGCCCAGGATCCGAACCCGGGCCGCCAGTAGCAGAGCGCGCGCACTTAACCGCTAAGCCACGGGGGCGGCCCAGTCTGTTATTCTTTGCATGATTAAATGTGGGCCAAATGGTTTTTGTACATCTCTTCTTTAAGTTTCTTAGACATTAGTGTTTATTACTTTAACATTCTGTAACTTGTCTCTGGTACACATAGTTAAATGTTTGATAAGTAGTTGGTAGGTAGTCTGACATGCTCGAATGGAAGAATTAGAAAATAGTATAATAGTTTTGAAGTTTAAAATTCATAGCATTCCATCTTTTTTCTTCTAGTTCTCTCTTTTTAACCTGTCCCTTCCAGCAATAGATATCAGACCTCTTGTAATCAATAGATATATTAGCTATATAGCTCCCAATTAAAAAGGATACATAGCAGAAATGTGATAGTCTAAAATATTTTAAATGTTTTTTTAAAAAAACAACATATTACTATGAAGTCCTTTGCAAAATTTGGAAGTTCTTGTTAGTCATTTGATGTATTATGGTTATTAATCTTTCTGTACATTTTTTGATTAATATTTTTTTAAGATCTCCAAGAGGTTTGTCTTATTCTCCTTGGGCTGTGAAAAAGATTAATCCTAGATGTAATGATTATTATCAAAGTATGTATCTAAAGAGACTAACTGATGAAGCTAAGATTTTGAAAAGCCTTCATCATCCAAACATTGTAGGTAAGTTTAAATTTATTTTGTAGTAGTATCTGGTATTATTCTGTTTATGTAATCTCTTCACTGGTTTCACTAATAAAAATGAAGAGGATGGTGGGAGTTTGGCAAGAATCAAATTAATTCGAACATTCTAAAATAAAAATTAGTATATAATACTTTTAGATGCTTAAGTATATATATAAAACTTCATGGGAATAGATATAGTCATTATGGTGCTGGTACTATGAAGAATTCAGGAATATAAAATGATCTTCATTTAGATAATTTTCTTATTTTCATTTTTAATATAAGTAGGACTGCTGAAACCATTATATTTAGAAAGGCATAGGGTATTTAAAAATATTTTAATTTTTTATACAATTGGCAAACACTGAAGGCATTTTAAATTAGGTCTATTGAATTAGTTTTGTAAATAATAGCTATATCATTGTGTATTTGTCAGCGTTAATCCAGATCCGTTTTCAATCATGTTCCTGTAAAGAATTTAAATACTGTTGTTCTTCCCTATTCCAGTAAGAAAATGTCATGTTTTCTTTAAGGTTATCGTGCTTTCACTGAAGCCAGTGATGGTAGTCTCTGTCTTGCTATGGAGTACGGAGGTGAAAAGTCTCTAAATGACTTAATAGAAGAACGAAATAAAGACAGCCGAGATCCTTTTCCAGCAGCCATAATATTAAAAGTTGCTTTGAACATGGCAAGAGGGTTAAAGGTAACTATGCCATTATGTTTCAAATGACTTCTGTGGAACATGAAAAAACTAAATACTTTATATACCTAATTACAAGGTGGGATTTTTTTTTTTCCCCGAAAGAGGGGTTGCCTTAAGTTAAAGTCTTTATAGAATCTCTCATATTGCAGAGTGTACTATTTCCTTTTTATGATCAGCGAAGTGTTGTTGGAGGCCTTCCCATAGCCTGAAATAACCCAAGTCAGGTAGTTTTCCTTATCGAGATCACATGTTAGATTTAGTTAAAAGGATTAATAAATTTAACACAAATTTAGTTATTATTTCTGGAGGTATAGCCTAACCCCCTGTTGATGTAAATAAGCCTCCTAAAGATTGCTTTGTGGTATAAGTTTTGGAGTTAGCTTACCTGTAAATAGCCATCAATTTCCAAAGAATCATTTAGATTTCTGGTCAGTATGGCAGACTGAGATAACATGGGATGTCCCCTTCTCTAGCTTCAAGTAATTTGAAATGATGGATAGACATAAGCCTGTAGTTTAGCACAGGAGTTCAAGTTGTTATTTTTGTTTGAAGGTTATCATATTTTTTTTATTAGTTTGTATTTTTGCTCAGATGTGTTAAATTTTCCACTATTTTAGTATCTGCACCAAGAAAAGAAACTGCTTCATGGAGACATAAAGTCTTCAAATGTTGTAATTAAAGGTGATTTTGAAACAATTAAAATCTGTGATGTAGGAGTCTCTCTACCATTGGATGAAAATATGATTGGTAAGTAGTATTCTAATTTTTTAAATTTTGTTTTCATACAGTTTTTAAATTTCTAATTTTTACATATTGAAATAGGTGGTAAGTTCACATTCTTCGAAAATTTTAATAAGGTTTTTAAAAAGGAATTCATTTAGCATCAACAGAGTGACAAGATTTGGGAAACTGATAGAAGGAGAAACTGGAGTGGAGATAGGAAAGAGAGTGCTACAGGGGCCGGTCTTCTGCTTTTTGCCCCTTGGCCCACCCCATCTCATTCATCTCTCTTTATTGCAAATACTGACCATTCTCTTCTCGGGGAATTTAAGACATGTTCTTGGTGAGAACCGAGAACCAGCCTCAAAGAGAAATCTTCTGCTTTCAATATATTATTAATAAATAGCATTTAAATTTGCCTTTTTATATGAATATAAGGTAAAGGGAAGGTTAATGAATGCTGTTCAGAACTTACGTAAACCTTATTTTCTAGCTAAAGTAAAGGTCTACAAGTTGAATGGAAGGAAAAAGCCAAGATATTTAGAGTGACTTTATAATGATGTCTGTGATCATTAATAAAGATAGAACTGCCATGAACCGTTAGGCCAAATAACTGCTATAAAGTTGAAACTTTAGAAAATAAAAGGAGAAATAGTCAAACAGAATAAAAAATAAGATTTTTTAGCATAACTTTTTCAATCCTTGATAGATTAAATAGACAAACTAAGATGTAGAAAATCTGAGTAATAAGGCCAATCTCTGCCTTAGAATATTTATTAAAATTGACCATTTATTAGCTAGGTTACGAAAGAAAACCTCAGATTCTAAAAAGTAGAAATAGTCTAATGGTTGACATTCATTGTCTTCAGTCCTGTAGATCTAAAAATTAGTAACATAATTAGAAACAAAAATCTCCCAATGTTTTATAAATTTAAAATATTTGTAAATAATTGTTGGGTAAAGGAAGAAATCAAATTCCAGGTACAAAATACTTAGGAAATAATGAGAATGTAACAATAAATCAAAACCTAGTTGATAATAGTCAAAACTACTCAAAGGAAAACATTTTCATTATTTAACCTTTATGAAATTAAGTTGAGTGTTCAACTCAATCAAAAAAAAGTGAGGCCCTAAAAAAAGTAGAATGCAGAAATGAATGAATTAGAAAAATCTATAAATTCTTTTTTCGTTATTGTTGAGAAAGATTCGCCCTGAGCTAACATCTATTGCCAATCTTTTTGCTTGAGGAAGATTTGCCCTGGGCTGACATCTGTGCCAGTCTTCCTCTATTTTGTATGTGGGTCACCCCACAGCATGGCCACCAACAAGTGGTGTAGGTCCACACCTGGGAACCAAACTCGGGCCACCAAAGCAGAGCACGCCGAACTTTTATCCACCAGGCCACAGGGCTGGCCCAGAAAAATCTATAAATTCTACAAAATCCCAATATGATCTGTTTTATTTTAGAACATGTCAAAGTGAATGTAAAGTTCATCCTTGAGGATACATATTCAAATATAGCCAGAAAATTCTATGAAAGAATGACGAGTAGGAATTTTCCTGACCAGACGTTAAGAAGTATCATAAAGCTATAGTAATTAAAGCAGTCATACTCATGCCAAATAGGCAGAAAAATATGAGTCAAGAAACAGTTCCCAAATATTTAGAATTTGTTATATGATAAAGGTGATATTTTTGTATTAATGCAAAAAGGTAATTTAGTCAGTAAACAGTGATGTCTGGATATTTTAGAAAAAATAAAGTTGTTTTCTATCTGCACACTCTAATCCCTGTAGATTGAAGATTGAAAAAAAAGTAGTAGAAAAAATTGTAGGTAAGTATTTCCTTAATGTTGGGCTTAAGGACACCAAAGCTAGAAACCATTAAAAACAAAAGCCATGACTGCTGAAAATTTTCTGTATGCTAGTGTAAGCTGCAGTATAGGTTAACATGTACTTTCGTACACTAAGTAGAAGTTGCAATTGGTGTATCATTCAGCTTAGGATAAGTTTTGCTATGGTAACATAGACTCTCAAAAACCTCAGTGGCATAAAACAACCAGGGCTTATTATTCAAGCTACATGACCGTTAGGGCTGTGTTCCATGTCGTTCTCACTTTAGGACCTAAGCTGCTGGAACATCCACCATATGAAATACTGCCATCATTATATGGAAAGTAAAAAAGCTCTAGAGCTGTGCTGTCCACTTCAGTAGCCACTAACTACACATGGCTATTTAAATTTATTAATAATAAAACATTTTAAAAGTTCATTTCCTAAGCCACATTAGCCACATTTCAAGTGCTCAGTAGCCATGTGTGATTAGTGGCTACCATATTGGACATTGCAGATATAGAACATCTTTATCATCACAGAAAGTTCTATTGGACAGTGCTACTTTAGAAAGTCTTGCACTAACAATTAAAGGTTCCAGTTCGGAACCCACACAAGTCACTTCTTTCACAGCTTACTGACCAGAACTAGTCCTATGGCTCCAACTGACCACCACAGGCCAGAAAGTGCAATCCTTCTGTGTGTCTAGAAGGTGGAGAGCATGAACTACTTGATGAATAGCACTAGTAACTGCCACAGTAGTATAGTCTTTTCAGAAGGCCATTTGAAAATATGTATTTTTTAAAAAAACAAAACCCTTAAAAATGTTTATTCCCTTCAATCCTATAATTCCATTCCCAAGAACACATTCCAAAGAAATAATTGGGCAGTGTGGGCATTTTTTACAATAACCTGGTGTGTTAACTTCTGCTAAAACTCACATTCTGTGAAAGTCAAAAGATAGAACTAGGTTTATAGAAAAATAGAGTTGGGACAGAAGAAGCAAAACCCATGCAACCTTGAAAACAAAGCAATAACAAAAACAATGACAATCCTGATAAAAATACTAACACGTAGGATCTTCACTGGCACCCAGCATCAGTCAATCCTGTGAAGCCGTAAACCCTGGGTTTGTACTTCCTTAAAGGTATATATGAGGGTATTTACTTTCAATAAATACTATTCATTAAATTTAAAATTTGATCTGGCTTTTTCAGTTAAAAAAATATGGGGGAAATGTCTTGGCAGCTCCCTTACCTGCACTCTCAGCTTCACCAGGTAGTTTAATGTTACAGTCAGCATATTGGTTCTTAAGGCTACTGAACAGTCACGCACTGAAGGAAGGTGTTTCTGTGGGCTGAGGCTTTCTCTTTGTGAGGAGGTTTACTCCTGATCACTTCAAAAATAATATTAATGTACTGGGGAAAAAAAATCACATAATGTTTTTTACTAATTGTGTATGAGCTAATTTGTCTTACAAAAATACAGATTATAGCAGAACAGACTATGCAAAAATGTAACAGATTGTTCATTAATAAGGCAGGGATGGTTTAATTTACTGTACCACCACACAATAAAATACCATATAGCCTTTAAAATTATATGGGTTTATATTTGTAGGCATGGAAATATATCCAAATATGTTAAGTGAGATGAACAGATTGTAAAATAGCACTTAAAATATGTATTTACATACACCTTAAGAAAGTTTTGGGAAAAAAAAAAACCTAAATCTTTAAAAATTATTTTTAAGTTTTGTGTTTTAATTGGTAATATATTTACGTTTCACAACTATAATATATGTAGGGCGTTCTGTGAAAAGTGCAAACCACTGTTAAGTGGTTATCTCTGATTGATTGATTTAGCAGATATTTTTAATACTAAGTACAGTCAGGCACTGTGCTAGGCACTATAAGTATAGAGGAAAATGGGATAGACATAGTCCTTACCCTTTTAGGGCTCATAATCTAGGATGGAAAGCAGCTCTTGAACAACTAATACTAAAGTATAATGACCGTTATAAGGGATTATGTAAACATGACAGTGCCACTTAACCCAGCCTAGATGTTGAGAAAGGCCTCCCTAAATAAATAATGGTTAAGCTGAGAATTGAAGCATGAGTAGAAGCTCCAGTTTCATCGTTTTTCAATTTGACATAGTGTAGTGTCCTTGAGAACTGAATAAGGTAATGTCTGCTTAAACTCTTTGAAGGTAGTAAAGGGCAATAACATATAAGTTGTTTCTGTATTGACAAAAAGGAATAACTGAATGATTAAATTTATGATCTCATCAAACTTTTGTCAGAATCCATCTTCACAGAGAAGCAAACTTAAGCAGTAATGTCTGTGGAGACCCATTTCCATTATGCGTAAATTCTCATCACCAACTTGGAGAAATGTAAGCAGACATATAAGAAATGCACTTGTGGTTGGCTAGAGTCTCCAATTGGAGCTGATATATTGGACCCAGAGTTCTAGAAAGCCGCTCTTTAGCCTGGCTGATCCCTATAGGAATTTCACCTGCTTAGAATGGGGTAGTGCCACAGAGTCACTGTCCATGTGGCCCATGTCTGTAGACTCTTACCTAGTTGTACATTGCATTATTAGTATAATATACTCTAACACCGCCTAGTGAATGTTCTGGTGGTAAGAGCTTGAGTTTATCCTAGTCATAGCAGAAGTAAAGTTTCTAATTTGCCAAAGGAAATTTATAAAATTATGAAAGATATATGATAGAGTATCTTTGTTGACTGCAATGGAATTATGTTAGAAACCAATAATAGTAAGATATCTGGGAAAGCTCCAAGTATTTGGAAATTCAGCAACACAAATTCAAATAACCTATGTGTCAAAGAAAATGATAAGGGAAATCGGAAAATATTTTGAATTGAATGAAAAAGGAAAATACAACATATCAAAATGTGTGAGATACAGCTTAAGCGGGGCTTAGAGGGAAATTTGTGGCCGTGTACATGATTATACTAGAAAAAAGAAAGGATCTAAATAAATAACCTATCTTCCATCTTGAGCTGAAAAAAGAGCAAAACAGATCCAAAGTAAGTCAAAGGAAGGAAGTAGTAAAGATGTGAGCAGAAATCAATGAAATGAAAAACAAACACTAGAAAATATTAATAAAGCCAAAAGCTGGTTCTTTGAAAGATAATAAACTTGACAGATCCTTAGCTGGATTGATCAAGAAAAAAGAGAACACAAATCACCAAATCAGGAATGAAAAAGAGGTTATTGCTACAGATTCTACACACATTTAAAGATTAACAGGGCCGGCCCCGTGGCTTAGCGGTTAAGTGCGCGGGCTCCGCTGCTGGCGGCCTGGGTTCGGATCCGGGTGCGCACCAATGCACCACTTCTCCGGCCATGCTGAGGCCGCGTCCCACATACAGCAACTAGAAGGATGTGCATCTATGACATACAACTATCTACTGGGGCTTTGGGGGAAAAAAAATAAATAAATTATAAAGATTAACAGACTATTACAAACAGCTCTATGTCAACAAATTTGATGACTTAGATGAAAAGAACAATTTTCTTGAAAAATACAATTTGTCAACATTGACATAGGAAGAAATAGGAAACCCAGATAGCCCTGTATCTATTATATAAACATTCCCCCAAAGAAAACCCAAAACCCAGATGTTGTCACCGTTGACCTCTATCAAACATCCAGGAAGAAATGATACCGATTTTACACAGATTTTTCAGAAAATAGAGTAGGGACCACTGCCCAGTTTGTTCTGAGGCCAGCATAACTCTAATATCAAAACCTGACAAATACATCATGAAAGAAGAAAATCACAGATCAGTCTCCCTCACAAGCATAGATGCAAAAATCCTTAACAAAATATTAGCAAATTGAACCTAACAGTATATAAAAAGGATGGTACATCTGATCAACTAGCATTCATCCCAGGAAAGAAAAGTTATTTTAATATTCAGAAGTCAACGAAATTCATCATATTAACAGATTTGAAAACATGGTCATCTCAAGAGATGCAGAAAAAGCGTTTGACTAAATCCACCTTCCATTCATGATAAAAAAGACACAGAAGGGAGCTGAGCCTCAGAAAGGGTGTCTACAGAAAAACCTACAGGCAGCATAGCATCATACATAGAGAACAAGGCAGCATGCCTGCTCTCACCAGGGTTGTTTAACACTGTGCTATAGTCTTACCATTAAAATAAGGCAAGAAAAAAGAGGCATCAAGATTGGAAAGGAAATGAAATCATTCGTATTTACAGTTGATATGATTGTTTAGGTGGAAAATCCCAAGGAATCTACAAAACAACTACTAGAACTAGTAAATGAAGTTAGGTGTATTGTATTTCTATATATTAGCAGTAACTAATTGGAAAATGAAAATTTAATTCTATTTACAAGTACCAAAAAGCATAAAATATTTAAGAATAAATCTAACCAAAAAAGTCTAAAATTTCTATAGTGAACACCATAAAACATCACTGAGAGAATTAAATAAGACGTAAGTAAATGGGGAGAGAGAGAGAGAGATCATGATTGTGGATTGGCAGACTCAGTACTGTTAAGATGTTAATTCTTTCCAAATTTTCTAGAGATTCAATCCCAATTAGAATTCTAGCTGGGTTTTTCATTGAAATCAATAAGTTGACTCTAAAATTTAAATGGAAATATGGGTGGACCTATGTCATTCCTGGGCAGGAGCTTTAAGAGCCAATATGCAATTCAACCCTTTGCCATTTAGCAATCACAGAAGCAAAGAAATGTTATTTCTCTCAGTCTAATGACAGCATAGTTTGAAAAATGAAGTCACTCAGGCACAGAGGTTAAGTGATCTGCTCCAGGTCACACAGCTTGCACACGTCTCAAGCCGGGCAAGGCAATATGGCTCCAGGGTCTGCACTCGACATCTGCAATCTGTTTGTATTCCTGCCACTTTCTAGGAGCATTGCTGTGTCTTTACACCCTTGCCAACTGACCAGCTTTTTGAATATGTAACAATCTGATAGGGAAAAAGTAATTTTTATTAATGAGGTTGAGTATTTTCATGTTTCCTGGCTACATTTATTAACCTTTAACCTACCTGTTAAATCATTTGCCCATTTTTCTTTGGGTTGATTGCCTTTCTTAGTGATTTCTAGTGCTTCACCTAATGATCATTTTACCCGATTTTACTTGTTTCAGTGACTGACCCCGAGGCATGTTATATTGGCACTGAGCCTTGGAAACCCAAGGAAGCTCTAGAGGAGAATGGTGTTATTACTGACAAGGCAGACATATTTGCCTTTGGCCTTACTCTGTGGGAAATGATGACTTTATCTATTCCACACATTAATCTTCCTGATGATGATGACGATGATGAAGGTATAACTGCGTATTTTTAAAATCCCAATCTCTTCAGTTTAAACTAAAGATTAGCTTGTAAAATTATATTTTATCTTTCTATTAAGTTAAAATTGAAAAGAGCAAGTTGTTTGATTTTGTGGCGTGAGATATAGATTATATTAATACTGATGACTAATTTGGTACCATCTTGGTTTAATCTCATACAAATGAAATGTAGATTAATTGAGAATACGGAGAGAAATTGAGACAATCAAGAGGAGCAAAAGGTTACCTTAAAAACTCCCCTTGCCTGAGAAAAAGATTGGAAAATTATCGTAGTAAGGGGTGGAGGTTGATAACCTGTAAATCCATGACAGAAGCTAAGCCACACCATAGCAGGACAACTGAAGAGAGTGCTTGCAGTGTAATGTAAAGCATACTGAGGATGAATTCTTGTTTCAGGAGGGTGCATTGAATAGTTGCTAAGCTTTTCCATGACTTAAAAGTGATTTTGTTTAATTGTTTTAATCTCCAACTCCTTCATGAGCAGACAAAACTTTTGATGAAAGTGACTTTGATGATGAAGCATACTATGCAGCTTTGGGAACTCGGCCACCTGTTAATATGGAAGAACTGGATGAAACCTACCAGAAAGTAATTGAGCTCTTCTCTGTATGCACTAATGAAGATCCCAGAGATCGTCCTTCTGCTGCGCACATTGTTGAAGCTTTGGAAACAGATGTCCAGTGATCACCTCATATTCATTCCCTGAGCTTCAAGTTTGGCTCATGTGTATAACTGTTCTGTTTACTGTCATACATTTATGTAGTTACTATGATAATCCATAATTATTAGACTTTTTGGAAGTCGCCTATTTTAGGACCATAGCACCTTGTTAACATTTGAACAACTATTTCTATTATAAAGGTATTTCTTATATGCTTATAATGATAAGCATTTGAGATTGTTTTGGGTTTTCTATAAAGTTTAAGGAACTAGCTACTCAAGTATTTGAGCTTGTTCATATAGATTTAAAACACCAGCAATAAAATGCTGAAAATACTTATGTATAATGTTAATTTGGTTTGCGTGACCATTTTATTAATGATCTTTCTCAAATATTCTCTGTTTAGTGGATCTTTTGAAATTAGAACTTTGTGCAGTACAAAATAAGTCTTCATTTCCTTATCTTTTAAAACATTAAATCCTTTTCTGGCCTTTCTTGGCTGATGTGATTATTAAATATGGTCACTGGAAACTTAATGAATTTGGCTCAAAAGAGTAGTTCCTTGGGCATTTCCAAACATTTTTGGTTAATGCTTGTCTTGCTCTTTGGTTTTTACTTTAATTTATTAAATGTGTTTTCTGTACTGAGATCCCTTTTTTATTTACTAATCTATATCTTAAGCATTTTGCAGTTCTGATGTAAAAATAGTAAAACTTTAATAAGACGATATAGAATAAAGGGTGCTTTATTACCAGAAGGTGTATTATCTTATTTTATACTCCAGTGATATGAGTGTTGTCATTAAACTTATTGAGTGAATGAGAATAGGTTACTTTCTCTCTTGGCCTAATTTTGTTAATCTGTAAAATGAGGGTGATACAGATCTGGAGTTTCTGTGAGCCACAGCCCCCTGGGAATTTTCATTTATTGAATTGTGCTTGTGAATCTAGGTGGTATGCCCAGACTTGACTGTAGAAAGAATGTTTAAAATTACTGTCACCTGGGGGATCTTAGAAAGATTAGGAACCACTGCACTCTGGGCTTTAAACAATTCTAGAATTCACTGGATAGGTCCTTTTAGTATGAGATTGTACCAATTATACACAGATCATTAATGAGCATATCTTCTATCAAAATATTAAAGTGACAAGAAAGTAAGTTGAAAGCTGATTTAATTTATGGAAAAATCTTATTTATGTACAATTTTGCATTCTGACATTGTTATTCTCACTTTGACATATTTTGTGTCATTCTTACTAGGTCTGCCAAGCTGACAGAGCAGTTTCTGTCTTTTAGCCCTTTCTCAGGAATTGCAACTTCTTTTTAATACATAAACAAATACTTGAGAAATTTGTTTCTGATTCCTATAGTTGGAATATCTAAATGGGAACAAAGGACTGGGCCAGCCAATTCACAGCATTTGTCTAAGGCAGACATGCAAAATGATCCCAGCATGCTTTTCCCTCAAGTCTGGATAGGGCCTTGAAGCCTCAACACAAGGTTGCAGACAATTTGCTACCAACTGTAAGAAAACTTTAAATTCTTGTTCTAGAACTTGTTCTTTAAGTCTCAGGTGTTAGCTTCTTTTTTGGCCATTTGCCTCATTCTCAGGAAAGAAGGTTAACGTGACTGGGTTGAGGCTACAGCAGGCTAATCTTTTTGCTGAATTAATTATAACCGGCAAATCAAAACAGGCTTCACCCGAGTACCTTTCTCACCTCCCAGCAAATGTCCCTTTACTCGCAGTGTAAGGCCTCCAGGAGCCTGTTTGCATCTCTAGAAAATGGAGATGATAAGCAGCTGCTTAAGAAAGGTCAGGGACTAGTCTTTCATGCCTTCTGGTACCTACTTAATCTATTTGTTGATCAAAATAAAATTAAAAGATTTTTAAATAAGATCCTATATATAAAAATTTGTGGGATGCAGCTAAAGTTGTGCTTATAGTCTTAAATGCTATATTAGAAAAGAAAGGGTGAAAAATTGGTGAGCTAAGAATTTAGGAAAAACAAAATAAGATTACCTTCCAATAGAAGAAACGAGCAGAAATTTAAGAACAAAACAAAACCTATCAGAAAATACAGAACAAACCTGTAATAGGATCAACACCGCCAAAAAGTTGGGTTTAAAATTGCTAAGTCTCTAGCTAGACTCATCTAGAGGAGTAAAAAAGATGTGTCATGAATGAAAAAATGAAACATCACTGCAGCTCCTACTACTGATACCCAATCTCATTCATGAACATAGACGAAAAATCCCAAACAAAAGATTAGTAAACCAAAGCCAGTAAGGTAAAAAAAATTTCAAGACCAAGTTGGGTTTATTTCAAGAAGGCAAGGTTGACATAACATTCAAAGAACAATGTAATCACCATAGTAACACAATGAAGAAAAATAAAAATTATCTTAAAAGATGGAAGAAAAATTCTTGATGAAATCCAGTATCTCTTCAAGATGTTTAAAAGCCTCATAGAAACCTAGGAAGAGAGAGGAACTTCCTTATATAAGGGTGTCCATATCTAACAAGGAAACTATAGTAAACATCATAATTCACAGTTGCCATGCATTGAAAGTTTGCCCCCTTAAATTCATATGTTGAAACCCAATCCCCAATGTAATGGTATCTGGAAGTGGGGCCTTTGGGAGGTGATTAGGTCATGAGGGTGGTGCCCTCATGAATTGGATTAGTGCCCATAAGAGAGATCGCTCTCTGCCAGGTGAAGATACAGCAAGAAGGCTACAAGCCAGGAAGTGAGCCCTCAGCAGGTACTGGATCTTGCACTTCCCAGCCTCCAGAACTGTGAGAAATTGTTTAAGCCACAGTCTACTGTATTTTTGCTATAGCAGCCTCAACTAACGAAGACATTAGTGAAATGTTGAAAGCTTTTCCTATGAAACCTGGAATGAGACAAAAATGTCTACTACCATTACCTTTATTCAACACAGTGCTGAAGGTTCTAGCCAATGTAATGTAAGAACAAGAAATAAAAGCTATAAGATTCTAAAAGGAAGAAATAAAACTGTCATTAGTCACAGACGACACTGAATTGTAAACACGGAAAATCCAAAAGAATCTACAGATGAATCATAGAAAATAAGTTTAGAAATGTTGCTGAATGCAAGGTCAATATAGAAAAGTCAGTTGTATTTTATATATCAGCAAACAAAACGAAACTTTAAAAATACACTACTTCCAGTGGCTCCAAAAAAAGTATCAAATATTTGAGTAAATCTAAATAAATTATATAAGACCTCTACACTGAAAAACACAAATTACTGAGAAACTAAATAAATGGAGAAATACACCATGTTCACAGGCAGAAAGATAAAATATCTTGCAATCAATCCTCCCAAACTGATCTACAGATTTGATGCAATTCCAAAAAAATCCCAACAGGTTTTTTTAATTAGTGATGGCTTTTCGAGGAACTTAATAAACTGTTTCTAAAACGTATATGGAAATGCAAACGGCCAAAAACAGACAAAATACTCCTGTAGAAAAAAAGGTGGGAGAATTTACTATACCAAACATCAAGAATATGATAACACAATGTGGTATTGGCATAAGGATAACCAATAAGACTAGTGGGAATAAACAGAGGCAGAAATAGAGCTACACCGTGGGCACAATTTATGACAAAGGTAGTAAATTAATAATAAAAAACATAAAATGAATACAAAGGCAAGAGACTTGAATAGTCACAACCTAAAATGCTCATCAACAGTAGTATAAATTACCATATATTCTCACCATAGAATGTTATACAGCTAGATGCAATAACATGGTTGTATCTTGACAACAAAGATTCAATTCCTATAAAGTTCAAAAACAGACTAAAATCTTAGACATCAAAAGGTAGTTGTTACATTTGAGATGATGTGATAGGATAGAAGAGGACATGAAGACTTCTGGGGAGCTGGCAATGTTTTGTTTTTTTAACCTGGGTAGTAGGTGTTTGTGATAATTCAGAGTTGTACATTTTTAAAAATAAACTTTTAAATAAGTTTTAGATTTACAGAAAAGCTGCCAAGACAGAGAATTTCCATATACCCTACACCTAGCTTCCCCTATTATCAACATCTTACATGAATATATTTGTCACAATTAACAAACCAATGAACCAATATTGGTACATTACTATTAACTCGAGTCCATACTTTATTCAGATTTATTTAGCTTTTACCTAATGTCCTTTTTCTGTTCCAGGATCCCATCCAGGACACCACATTACATTCAGGTGTCATGTCTCATTGGCTATAATAGTTTCTCAGACTTCCCTTGTTTTTTTTCAAACACTTTATTTTATTAGAGCAGTTTTAGGTTCACAGCAAAATTAAGAGGAAGGTAGAGATTTCCCATACACTCCCTGCCCCCACATATGCAGAGCATCCCACCAGATCACTATCCCCCACCAGAGTGGTACATTTGTTACCACTGATGAACCTACATTGACAATTAGGGTTCGCTCGTGGTGGTGTCCATTCTATGGGTTTGGACCAATATATGATACATATCTACCATTATAGTATCATACAGAGTATTTTCACTCCCCTAAAAATCTTCTGTGCTCTGCCTACTCAGTCTTCCCTCACCTCTAACCCTTGGCAACCACTGATTTTTTCACTGTCTCCACAGGTTTGCCTTTTCCAGAATGTCATATAGTTGGAATCATACAGTATGTAGCCTCAGATTGGCTTCTTTCACTTAGTAATATTCATTTAAGTTTCCTCTGTGCCTTTTTGTGGCTTGATAGTTCATTTCTTTTTAGTGCTGAATAATATTCCATTTTCTGGATGTACCAGTTTATTCATTCATCTACTGAAGGACATCTTGGTTGCTTTATTCATAATTGCAAATTTGGCAATTATGAATAAAGCTGTTATAATTATATGTGCAGGTTTTTGTGTGGATATGTTTTCAATTATTGTTTTTAACAAAGAACATGTACTATTTTTATAATCACAAAAAATAATTTAAAAAGAAAATTAGTATATTCAATCATGAGACTAGACAAAGAGAATATTGAAAAGAATTTTAATTGATTCATCACAAAAGCATTGAGCAAACAAAATGTTAATAAAATTTTTTAAATAAAATATTTAAAACAATTTAAAAAACCAGCAGCGCAGAAAATAGCATTAAAATGTTTGCATAATTACACACATTTTAACACTTCTACATTCTTTTTGGAACCCAGGCTTTTAAATTTTGGAACCATGTTAACATACAGGCAAATAAAAGAATGCAGATGAACAGATTGCACATAGAGTTACAACCTGGAAAACTACTTCCCTAGGGTCTTATTGCCAGATAGCAGTTAAATTATTTTTTTAGAATCAAAACAATCTGAATAATTCTTTGCTTTTCCAAGTAAGTATCCAAGAATTATACTAGGAAAATGTGTGCATATTTAGGCATATTTACATAATGTTATCATATTCTCTGGCAATCAGCCTAGATATATTTATTTACTAACCTTAGTTCTGTTACTATATATTTTGTCAGCACTTTTGCCAGATATCTCAGAACAAGATGTATTTTACACATGCAAAAAATCTTAAAATGTAACCATATGAATCATCTACTCCAACTAGATGTCCATTTTATTAATGACATCAATCACCAGTAATAAGTTCACTAAAGTAGCACAATTAACATTTTCATACACCAAAAATTAATAAAATGACAATAGTGCTATTACTAGGTTTAATTTTAATTAAATCTGATGACAGGTGTGCTTTCGATTAACATGATTTTTAAAAAGATTGAAACATTAAACTATAGAATTCTGTTCTACATAAAAGGATATGGACATTTTATTCATTCTTTACCATCTTTCCCTGTTACAAATTAGAAATTCAAAACACTTTCTAAAGATATTCAAAACTGAGTCGCTACAGCCAAGTACCTATAAAGCGAGAATTTTGTGTACAGAATTCAGGAATTATCTTTAAATATTGGGCACAGAAATTATTTGCCTGTCTTTAAATTTTTCCGTTTGCTTCTGATCAGGCATGCGATAATCCTGGTCCCAAAGTGTGCTTTATAAAAGATAAGTGGTCACATTTCTGTGGAAAACCATCTTGCTTTGTCAATGTTCTTATGTAGGAGGCAAGTAATTTTCCAGTTATAGCTACAAAGTTTCATAATTAAGGATTCAGAGTGCTAGTCAGTATATATCATCCAAAGATTTTTCCTTTCTTTGAATCCCCAGATAATTTTTAACAAATTTATCCCTGACTTTTCAATTCATAAGGGAAAAAACTGAGGCAAGTTTGTGTGTATGTGTGTTTGTGTCTTAGTATTTTTATTTTGATATTTGTTAAGTAGTTCGTATTATATGATAAGAGGCTGTCTGAACTCATCTACACAGTAACTGTTCTAGAGTTGAAATTAGCTTTAACTATTAAAATTGTACACAAGGAAATTAGGAGTGTTGCAGTACTTGGCTGCAAATAACTTGCCATCTGGCGTTGGGTCAGAAAACGCTATTTCATCAGTGCTGAGAAAACAGCCAAACATGAAGCAATTCCTAAAAAAGGAGAAAAGACAATTTAACAATGGAACAAACTTAAAATTCTGATTAAACACTAGCACAATTGATTTTAAAGCAAACCCAACATAAAATTTCAGTCTCCTGAATAAAATAAAATAAAAATTATTTTATTAAGTCATAAAATGACTTAATGCCTTAGATTTAAGAGATGGAAGTCTAATGATATCATCTCACAGATGAGAAAACTGAGATCCAGAAAAAATTCTGCTGAGAGGCAAAGGGAACCACATAAACCACCCAGCTGCCTCTAGGTGATCCACGGTCATGAGCAACTAATAGGAGATAAGATTGCTAATTAAAAGCCACAGATAATTAAAACCAAGAAATAAGCATCACCAATTTTAACCAATAACTTATACTCTTCTCAACTACACCACACACTCAGAGCTCTAAGAATGCAAAAACTAATCTGCATTTTGACCACAACTCTCCTTGATCCAGCTCAACTAGGATTAAAAAGTAATAAAATGAAAAGGTTGAAAGAATTCAACAAAATTGAGGGACATTCTATAAAATAACTGGCCTGTATTCATCAATGTCATAAAAGACAAAAAAAGGCGAAGAAAATGTTCCAGGTTAAGGAAGACAAAGACTAAAGAGATATGATGACTAAATGCAATATGTGGTCCTGCACAGGAAAAAAAATGCTATGCAGGAGATTTGAGGCAAATGACAAAACTGAAATATGGACTATACATGAAATAAAAGCATTATGTCAATATTAAATATCCTGAATTTGATAACTGAACTGTGCTTATGAAACAGAATACCCTTGTTCTTAAGAAATACATACTGAAGTATGAAGGGGCAAAGGGGCAGAATGTATGTAACTTACCTCTCAATAATTCAGGAAGAAAGTACATGTTAAACTTGATGGATCTGGGCAAAGGTATTTAGGGGGTTCTTTTTACCATTCTCGCTAATCTTTTATAAGTTTGAAATTACTTCAAAATAAAAAAAATTAAAGAATTGGATTCAATTAGAAGTTAAGATATAAGCTTCTAGTACACTTACTATATAATTGAATGCAACTTTATTGCTAAATTTACTAGAATCCAAAGCAAAATATTGGTTTGATTAGTTCTTATTATAAGTGATATCTAGAAGACTAGATCTGTAGACTGGAGTCCTAACTGTCCTTCTACTAGCTCATCAGTGTAAATTTGTGCTAATAATTCCATCTGAGCCTCAGCAGCTCCTTAAGTAAAACAACTAGGAATAATATTCTCCTTGTGTGAGGATTTAAATATATATTGCCTGTTTAAAAAAGAGAATTCAGCCTAAGGCTCCTCATATACAGGACAGCTGTCAATTATATTACCTGTATCTTCAATTCAAATGTGTGAGGAAAGATAAATATGTTCTCAAATGAATGTGTTTTATATTTCTCCTTTTGGGGCAACTTATTTTTAATTCATTATTGCTTATAGATAACCTATTGCCTTAGTACTCAAAGTATGATCTACAGACTAGCAACATTCAGCATCACCTGAGAGCTTATTAGGAATATCGAATCCCAGGCCCCACCCTGACCTACTGAATCACACCCACATTTTAACAAGATCCCCAGGTGATTCATATGCACTCTCACGTTTTGAGTAGCACGGGACTACTAACTGGTAGAACTAGGTTAGATACTGGTATTCCCCATACCAAATTTATGTATCTCTTAGTATAAAATATAGAAAATAGAAGTATTTCATGATTAACTACCAAAAAAAAATCTTTACAGACACCAATTTTTCTCATTGCTTCCTTTTATAAGGTATGTGTGGGTGACTAGGATTATGGCTCAAGACTGGATCCCCACAGTGGTCTTTGGTTTTCTTTCTTAAAAAGTATATAGAACTCAAAAGGCTAGAATAGTGCTACTCAAAGTGTGGTCACTGGTTTGGTCAAAGTGTGGTCACTGGTTTATAATCCGTTATTTTAAGTACAGAAATTGAGAGAATAAGTGTTGTGAAATTCATCCATCCAACCTTGATTAGGTAAATTAACAAGCAAGAAGTAAGCTAATTTGTCACACTAGAAACTTTAAGTATCAATATACAGTGTCAGTTCAAAGTGCGAGCATAGGAGTTTAAAATGGAGAATTGCCAATTTATTTTTTACTGAGATATAACTCATATACCATAAGACTCACCCTTTAAAAGTGTAGAAGTCAGTGGTTTTCAGTACATTCACAAATTTGTGTAACCATCACCAATATCTAATTCCAGAACATTTTCATCATCCCCAAAAGAAACCCTGGACCCAATAGTCACTCTCCATTCACCCTTCCCTCAGTCACTGGGAAACTACTTTCTATCTATGGATTTGCCTATTCTGGGTATTTTCTATAAATGGAATCACACAAAATGGGTCTTTTGTGACTGGCTTATTTCAATTAGCATGTTTTCAAGGTTCATCCATGTTGTAGCATGTGTCAATACTTCATTCCTTTTTGTGGCTGAACAATATCCCACTGTATTAAAGTATGGATATACCACATTGTATTTATCCATTAATTGTGCATTTGGTTTACACTTCCTTGATTATGAATAATGCTGTTATAAACCTTCATGTACCAGTTTTTGTGTGGACATATGCTTTCATTTCTTTTGAGTATACACCTAGGAGCAGAATTGCTGGGTCATATGATGATTTAATTTTTTTGAGAAACTGCCAAACCGTATTCCACAGCAGCTACACCACTTTACAATTCCTACCAGCAACATACAAGGATTCCAATTTCCTCCACATCCTAACCAACATGCATTATTTCCCTTTTTTTTTGATTATAGGCATCCTAGTGGGTGTGAAGTAGCATATCATCATGGTTTTGGTTTGTAATTTCCCTGATAGCTAATGATGTTGAGCATATTTTCATGTGCTTTTTAGCCATCTGTATTTCTTCTTTGGAGAAATGTCTATTGAAATCATTTGCCCATCTTTAAATTCGGTTGTCTTTTTATTTTTATGTTGTAAGAGTTCTTTTATATATGCTAGATGTACTACTCTTATTAGATAAATGATTTGCAAATATTTTCTCCCATTCTGTGGGTTGTCTTGCTAATTTCACTTTTACATTTAGTTACACTTACGAGTTATAGTAAGTCTTTATTAACTACCTAGTTGCACACTGTCAATGACCATGTACAATTTCTGTAATTCTTTTTTAAACCTTTGTATAGATTATATTTATTGAAATGTTAATTTTACATCTGTAGAATCTAATAAAAATCTGTGCTTGTATTTTCCTTTTTTTTTTTTTGCTTTGTTTTCCTATTTCATTTTCTAGCAATTCTTCTTTATTTTACTTTATTAAAGTGTTTGTCTGTAACAAATTAAACTAGTCTTTCACCACAGGTAGCATGAAAAGCACTGGGCTAGAATGTTTCACACCTGGAATGTTGTGCCCTAAACTGAGTACATCTAGTATTTTTTTTCAGCACCAACACTTGCCTTAGCCTGACTTTGATAGTATTTATACAGAAGTGTCTTACCAACATCATTCCCTTTGGCTCATGAGCCAGGAAAGGTTCTGGGAAAGCTAATCTAGATCTAGATCCATTTTATTGTATTTCTTTTTCTTTTTTGAGGAAGATTGGCCCTGAGCTAACATCTGCTGCCAATCTTCCTCCTTTTTTCTCCCCAAAGCCCCAGTAGATAGTTGTATGTCATAGTTGTCCCTCTAGTTGCCCTATGTGGGACGCCACCTCAGCATGGCTTGATGAGTGGTGCGTAGGCGCGTGCCTAGGATCCAAACTGGCGAACCCCCAGCCTCCAAAGCGGAGTGCATGAACTTAACCGCTATGCCACCAGGTCAGCCCCATTTTATTGTATTTCTTACCTGAGAGTATCTACCAGTCGTCTTGCAATGCGCTTTCTTCTCTTCAGTCTGAAGACCCATATTCTACTTATCCCACAGACTGCAGGTTCTGGTACATTTGAACATTGCCAAGCCCTATGACATTCTTTAGAGCTTGGAGATTCTGGACCAGTTGGTTCGGACAGGACACGGAAGGCCTGCAATAATATACAGAAGCATCTAGAGCTAACAATACAGATGAGTTCACATTGCTTTTTAAAAACCATTCCTTAAAGGGCCGGCCCCAAGGCTTAGCGGTTAAGTGCGTGCGCTCTGCTGCTGGCGGCCCGGGTTCGGATCCCGAGCCCGCACTGACGCACCGCTTCTCCGGCCATGCTGAGGCTGCGTCCCACATACAGCAACTAGAAGGCTCTGCAACTATGACATACAACTATCTACTGGGGCTTTGGGGGGCGGGGGGAAAAAAAAACCATTCCTTAAATAAAACTTAAGTATCTGAAATTAATATTTTAATACCTTCACCAAAAATGTCAAAATTCTTTGATATTTCTTGAATTCTCGTCCATTTATAGTTACACAATGCGTAAAAAGTACTAGTGGTGTTGAGATATTCCCACATTCCAGTGTATTATATACCATTATGAAACATCCTTCTTTTGTTGATTAAAAAAAATTGTAAAATTCAGACTGTTACCTTTAATAAAGTACATAAACTTCTCCCATTCTCTACAGCCTAAAATGTGTATATATGACATCCTCAAAAACAGAAAGCACTAAAGAAGATTTTTGCATATTAACTATGAAATTTGGTTTGAATTTAAGTTGTTTTTAAAACTTTTTATTTTGAAATAATTAGATTCACAGGAAGTTAAAAAAATAGTAGAGAGAGAATCCGTGGATCCTTCCTGGGGTCTCTCCCAATGGTTACATCTTCCATAACTATAGTATAATACTAAAACCAAGAAATTAACATGGGTACAACGTGTATGTATAGTTCCACGAAAATTTATCATATTTGTATATTCATTTAACCACTGCCACAATCAAAATACAGAGCTGTTGCATCATCACAAAGATCTTCCTCTTGCTGCTGCTTTATAAACACATCCAACCTTTTCCCCTCCACCATCCCTAAGCCCTGGCAACCACAATCTGTTCTCTATCTCTGTAATTGTTATTTTGAGGGTGTCATATAAATGGAATCATACAGCATGTGACTTTTTGGCTTTTTCACTCAGCACAATGCCCTTGACATCTGTCCAAGTTGTTGTATATATCAACAGTTTGTTCCTTTATATTGCTAAGTAATATTCCACCATATGGATACACTAGTTTTTTTAATCATTCACCTACTGAAGGACACTTTCATTGTTTCCAGGTTTTGGCCGTTATGCATAAAGGTGCTATAAACATTCAGGTATGGGTTTTTGTATAGACATAAGTTTTCATTTCTCTGGGATAAATGCTCAGCAGTACGACTGCTGGGTGATATGGTAGGTGCATGATCAGTTTCCCAAGAAACTGCCAAACTTTTCCCTGAGTGGCTGTAACATTTTACAGTCCCTCCAACAATGTATGAGAGATCTCATTTCCCTGCATCCATGCCAGCATTTGGTATTGTCACTATTTTTTATTGTAGCTGTTCTGATAGCTGTGTACTTAAGTTTTAATTACCATTAAGAAAACTGTGCTTTTGAAATGAAAATTAGAGGAAGAGAATATGTATGAATTAGTTGGCTATTTTTGCCTATTGTCACTATATAAATAGTCTGCTTTTTTAAGATCAAAGAAAGGCCAAATTGATCACTTTTACCGCCAATTATACAAACCAGCTGTTTTTCTCTCCAACTTCTGATAAACACACACAGGAGAATATATATGTGTGTGTGTGTGTATATATATATATATATATATATGTGTGTGTGTGTGTATATATATATATATATATGTGTGTGTGTGTGTATATATATATATATGTGTGTGTATATATATATATATATGTGTGTGTATATATATATATATATATATATATATGATGAAAATGCAGGAAATAAAAGGAAAATAAGAGAGAGAAAAAAAGATGGTAGAAATTAGGGGAAAAAAGGAAGGCACTTACAAAAAGGTATTAGATAAATTCACGCCAGCATCATTTCAAGACATATTGAGACAGATAAATATATTTTGTGTGTGTGTGTGAGGAAGATTAGCCCTGAGCTAACACCTGTTGCCAAACCTCCTCTATTGCTGAGCAAGATTGGTCTTGAGCTAACATTCATGCCCATCCTCCTCTACTCTATGTGGGACGCTGCCACAGCATGGCCTGGTAAGCGTGCGTAGGTCCGCGCCCGGGATCTGAACCTGCAAACCCCGGGCCGCCAGAAGCAGAATGCGGGAACTTAACTGCTATGCCACCGGGCCAGCCCCCAGATAAATATTTTTAAAAGGAGATGTAAGTGTGGGATATATAGAGTCAGTTAAAAAAGAACACGTTGAACTATAATTTTCTACAGCTAAAGATTACCCTGTAACCTCCTTGAAGGCAAAACTACATCTCTCCATTCTAGAACGAGGATTGGCAACCTTTTTTTGTAAGGGGCCAAATTGTAAATAATTTAGGCTCTTTGGGCCATGTGGTCTCTGCTGCACCTACTCCACTGCCATTGCAGCACAGAAGCAACCACAGGTAACATGGAAATGAATGAGCATAGCTGTGTTCCAATAAAACTTTATTCACAAAAACAGGTGGTGGGCCACGGGCTGCAGTTTGCCAACTCCTCTTCTAGAACATTGCTAATTAGTATTTAAAGTAGATTCTAACTAAGGGACAAGTATTGACTATTTTGCCAAATATAGTAACCTGCACTAAGCCACATGTTCAATAAGTGGGCTCTTTAGATTTGCTTATTTAAAATCACATACTTTATAGTCCAGGTATGGAAATGACTACAAGAACATAAGACTGACTTACTTATCCTACCTATATAAGGCAAAATATCAAATATAATAGAAATAAATGACTTCAGCTATCCATGGAGTCAAAGATATTTCAGTAGGAAAAAAGTTATTAATAATAGCATTCTTAAATGCTTATTGAGATTTCTCCCAACTACTTAATTTTGCTTACAAATTATGCCAATAATTTAAAAGACATATACCATACCTGTTTGATGGGCTCTGCAATTAAACACCCAACTACTCTCTTTTCATCAGATATAAAGAGAAAAGTTTTGGTTTTATTTGGACATCTGGGAACAACTTGCTGGAAGCCCAATTCATTATCAACAAGTTCTTGGACATCTTCTACCTAACGATGTTAAAAACCAAAGGAGGTGAATTTGTTTTAAAAAGTACAACAGAAACTATATATATTTATATACACTAACTTTATGGTTACTATCATTTTAGCCTCTTTTATCTCTATTTCTTAAATTTGCACACCCCCAAGATTATTCCCTTACTGATGCATGTATCTGCCACTTTGGAAACAGAGTTTTAAGACCCTATTTTAAAGATCACTTTCAGGAGAAAGAAATTCACTCTTGGGAGGGACAAGGAATAGGAAGTGCCAATTTTGTTTCAGCTTTATTCACTGTTCACTGGGGCTAAACATCCAGCCCAAGAAACATAAGCAACACCAACATAAGAAATACACTCTAGGGCCATTAATCTCTCGACATTGAAACATTTGGTTTATCTTTCACAAGTGGAAGACAAAGGTAAAAGATAAGCCATAGAGCCTTAACTGTTTTCTTTAATCTCCAACTGACACTTCTTGCTTTGTCCTGTAATTATAAATTTAGTTTTGTACGAACTACTATAAAAGTCATCCTTACATGTGCACCAAAGTGGATTACCTATGAGCAAAGGTGTTTTATTCTTCAACATAGGTTGATTTTTTGGTGTGGGAGGGGGAGGGAGTAGAAGAATAGGAATTAAAAAAGCTAACATTCCATACCTTTCTGATAGCATAACTTGGATCATGTGGCAGGACCAGCACAATTTTCCCATCCCAAAACTCTGCTACTACACGTTCTTTTTTCCAGCCCTGCCAAAGGAAAAGAAAGCCACAGTTTAATCTGAAGAAAAGAAAAATGTAAGTAATTTGGTCTGGAGAGGACAAGAAGATGAACAATGAGTGACATAAAAAAGAGGACAAAATCCCACTACAGGAATGTGGGAAGGGAAATAAATGATGACTAAAACAAAGTACCTGTCCTCAAGGGGCTGACACCCTATTGGGAGCCATATACATAATCTATTATAAATGAAGGCAAAGTCAAATAAGAGCCCTTCATAGGAATATAAAGAGAAAAAGATGAATTATTAGAAGTGGGAAAGTGGAGGAGGGGTAGGATAAGCAGTTTTAATAAACCAGGCTAAAAATACGTGAAGGCATGAACTACCACAATAAAAACAGGAAAAACAAGGGATGCATTTGAGTAACAGGTACAATCATAAAGATAAGGCCAACAATAGGATGTATTTGGACTAGACAGCTGTTTGATAAGGAGGTAGGACCCCTTCCCTCAGAAAAGAAAAAGCCTGGAGAAGTCATAGCAAAGGTTTTTTTCTAAGGCTATCTATAAAGAAACTAAAGTGAGAAGAGCAGGGTCTCCTCAGTCTTTGAGTTTTGTATCTTGACTGTTCAGCTCTGCTCAGAAAACTAGAGCTAAGAATGCAGGATGTTCATTCAACCTAGAACAATACAGTTGTGTTGCTTAACAACGGGGATACATTCTGAGAAATGTGTTATTAGGCGATTTTGTCACTGTGCAAACATCACAGAGTGTATAGTATTTACACAAATCTAGATGGTATAGCCTACTACACACCTAGGCTATATGGTACTAATCTTATGAGACCACCATTGTACATGCGGTCCATCATTGATCGACATGTTGTTATGCAGTGCATGACTGTGGTTCTTTTGTATTAGGATAGAAAGTTTGAAATGGCACTTGTATTAAAAGATAACATTTAAATACTGTCTGCTTCATATATTAAGGATAAAATTGCAGATGATGAAATATTTATGGATATGTAGATCTTTCAATAAAGTAAAAGAAATGTTTCTTTTAAAGAAGTTTTATTTTTAGAACAAATTGAAAGACTATTTTCTGACTTAACTGCATATTTGATTCCCTCCAAAAATCTGTGGTGATGCTGAACATGCTGCATTTCATCTTCAGGGTTGGAAGCAGTATAGATCATGCCACAAGATTTACACATGGTGGCTCCAAAATGTTTCTGACCTGCATCCTGTAATTGGAAAAAGAAAAAAACAAAGCCCATCTAAACACATCACGAATAGCTCTGTATTTAGTTCATGTAACCATTCATTCAAATTTCTCCTTATTTTTCTTTTATGCTGGCATAACTGAAATACTAAATGAAAATGTGGTGACTATATCCTCCTCTCCCTCCCGCCCAAACAAAATGGAATGAGAAGAGAACTAAAGATGCAACAGATTAATGAAACAAATGGAATTGTCTGCTTGAATGGATGGTGTCAAAAATCAAGATTCAGGGGCCGGCCTGGTGGCACAAGCGGTTAAGTGCGCGCGCTCCGCTGCAGCAGCCTGGGGTTCACCGGTTGGGATCCTGGGCGCGCACCAACGCACTGCTTGTCAAGCCATGCTGTGGCGGCATCCCATATAAAGTGGAGGAAGATGGGCATGGATGTT